CGTCCTTTCTCTTTCTTCCTCTCTTTCTTATCTGTTTCTCCTCCCCTGCCCTTTTCTCCCCCTTGTCTCCTCTCACTCCCTCCCCCACCCCTCTCCTTACCCTCTCCCCCTACTCTCACTCTCTCCCTTATCATAAACAGTTATTAGAACAAAAGGGCAGCACCTTGGCTCAGACTTGGGGACTGCTGAGAGCAAAAGGGAGCCGCCCATGCACCTTCTCTCATGATAGGCATGCCATAACTGATGTGCGGACACAGACTCCACAATCTGTAAGACTGTAAAGTAGGTGTGTTTATTCAGCGCTGGGCAGCACGGGGGGTAGCCCCACCAAAGTCGTGCGCACCTCCACGTGGCAACTTGCCCTGTTTATATGTAGCAAAGTGTTACATATGCAGGAAGTTTCCCAATACACCTATACATATGCATAATCTTGTCCTGCTTCATATTAAAATTAGCTTCAGGAGGTCATTTCCATAAGTCCCTCCCTACTGTGCTTGCTCAGTGCCTCCTTGTGGCAGTCATCGGGGTCGTGGGGGTCGTGGGGATGAAGGTTGATGGCTCCTCTTCATCACCGCTAGTAACCCCTTGTTCTTGTGCACTCAGTTGCTCCTTTGCTATTGTCCAAACTGCAGGGTCGGTTTAAGCCAGTTCTTAAGGCAAATTCCTGGTTCTTATCAAGAACTGTCCTTCATAAGGAGCCGCAAATCTTCCTGCGTCAGTTAGTTCGCACAATAGTTAGCAAAACATTTGAGCGCTATCTATTAATTTGATTCTCTGAGCTACACAGCAATCTAGACAATTATTACGCAGCATCTTATCTACTAAGATTCCCTTAACCCCTTCTCTCAGTCCCCCCTTTTCTAGAAAGTCAGTAAATTCTTTTACTGCACCTAATTCTAGTACAGTGTCTCCCTATTTAACATTCCCTCAAAATATTTGTTAGACTCAAGATTCTGTCGTAGCTGGTTCTTTTTCCATTCACTGTAAGAATCTCCTGTGTTCCAAAAACACCACAAGG